CCTCCTCCCTCTCCCCCCAGCCCCCAGCCAGGCCCAGAAGGGGAGGACATCTTCGGAACAGATGGCCGCCGTCCTCGCCCAGCGCTTTGCCAGTTAATTAACGCCGCCTGTAATTAAACTTCCCACAAATTAGCTGTCAGCGTCGCTAAAGGGAACCGTCCTCTCAGATGCCACCTTGACGAGCGGGATCCTGAGTCTTGTCAACAGGATAATTAACGGGGGCCGGGGGGCTCGCGGATCTCCCTCCCCTAATATCTCCATCCGCACCGCGGGGGCCGCGGGACGCGGGCGGGTTTTCCTGTTCCGTGAATTCGCATCCTGCGCTGTGTTTCGGAGTCTATGGAGGACCTACTGTGTGCTGGGAGCAGGCGGCGCCCGGGCTTGGCCGGCATCCTGGGGGCGCGTGCGAAGGCCCGAGGGGGAGGGCCCGGGAGTCTCTCGGCCTCAGTGTCTCTCTAATCTCTGTCTGTCTCTGTCTCTCTGTCTCCCTCCCTCCTCGGCGGCTCTGAGCTTTGGCAACTGCCCCGTCTGAGTCCTCAAATCCCGCCTTTGCTGCGGATGCAGCGCGGGTGGGGTGGGGGCAGCTTCTTCACGTGTAAAACCACGACCAGCGGCTGCTCCCGCAGCACAGGGTGCGCATCTACCCCACCCAGCATCAGCTCTGCCCGTGCGCCGGAATATGACGCAGTTGTCAAAAAGGAATGAGCTTCACAGGGCTTTGCTCGCGCGCCCTTAGCAGACCTGGGGGTGCTGCACCGAGTGCCAGGATGCAGATCCCTCTTGGTCCCATGTATGTGCGTGGAGGCTGAGTGGGCAGAGCGTCTGCAGCTCACAGGACACCGGCGGAGGGTCATAGGGCTGAGTCATGGCTGCTGCGTACAGACTTCCAGGCCAGCCTGGGCTGTGTGACATCCTGCCTCAAAAAGCAGAGACAGAGCCAGGCGGGTGGGCCACACCTTTGATCTCAGCACTCGTGAGGCAGAGGCAGGAGGAGCTCTGTGAGTTCGAGGCCAGCCTGGGCTACACGGGGAGACCCTGTCTCAAAACAAAAACAAAGCCAGAAGGACCCAGAAAGTGAAGAAATGAATGAACCCGAAGACCAGCCCGGAGTCAGGGGGTCCCACCCCCATATCACAGACCAAAGAGAGACAAACCTCAGGATTAGCCCCGTGAGATTCACTGCTTCCTAAAATTTTGCGCCTTAGAGGAGGCGGGATCTTTCACTTTGCCTACCCTGGCCTCCACGGTGACTTACACCAGTGTTCCGCACTCTGGAAAAGCTGAGGCAGGAGGATTGTCATGAGTTCAAGGCCAGCCTGGCCTACGATAGGAAAGTGTACTCATTCAAAATGAAATGAAAGAAAATAAAAATAAATCTAAAACAAAGCATAAAATAATTGAAAGTCGTTTTAAAGAAAATAAAATGAAGATGGCTCAGTGCGTGAAGCCTGCCGACCCGAGTTCGATCCCGTGACAAGGTGGAACGAGAGACCTCTGACCTCCACAAGGGAGCGGCGGAGCCCATGCCCCCAGCCCCAATAAATAATACTAATAAAAAAATTTAAATAGGATAAAGTACAAAATAAACCAATTTTAAAGACAAAATAAAAACAATAGAAAACAAAGTGCGCACTTGGCAGCCCGGGCACTGCATGCCACGGAGGTGTCAGGCTGACACCACGGCGCTCAATTATGTGCAGGGCGTGGCGGCATGGGTGGTGACTTGGCACACAGTAGGTGCTGCATAACGGTGCACACGTGTCATCCAGCACACCCGAGAGAGGCGGAGGCAGGAGGATCAGGGGTTCCAGGCCAGGCTGGACTCCACCGTGCTCCCGAGGCTAGCCTGGGCTACCGGAGACCTGGTCTCAGAAACTCAGAACTTAAAAATTAGAAGCGCTTCTTTCTGGAGAGTTCAGTGCAACCCCTTCTGCAAAGCGGCGAGTCCCGCCCGGGAGGACAAGCCTGTGACCTGCCAGCGACGAATCAGGACGCGGATCCCGGCATTACCTCATCGCGAAGCACGTCCATTGGCTGCGGGTCCCTGCGGCGCCTGAATCACCACAGCGCCTGCGCAGACTTCCGGGCCTCTGCGGGGACAGCTTTGGGGACCAGAGGGAAATGTGGGCGCCCCTCCTCCAGCTCAAAAAGGAGCTGAGCGTGCGGGAGATTCTAGAACCCCGCTCCTTGCCCCTGTGGTCCCAATTTCTGCTTGGAGACACCCTGGCCCCAGTCACACCTCACATTGGAGACTGTGCCTGGGGCAGGGGATGCAGCTGCGCAAAGGCCCCGGGGCAGAGGATGCAGCTGCGCAAAGGCCCCGGGGCAGGGGATGCAGCTGTGCCAAGGACCCGGGGCGGGGGATGCAGCTGTGCAAAGGCCCCGGGGCAGGGGATACAGCTGTGCAAAAGCCCCGGGGCAGGGGATGCAGCTGTGCAAAGGCCCCGGGGCGGGGGATACAGCTGTGCAAAGGCCCCGGGGCGGGGGATACAGCTGTGCAAAGGCCCGGGGACAGGGGATACAGCTGTGCAAAGGCCCGGGGCGGGGGATACAGCTGTGCAAAGGCCTGGGGGCAGGGGATACAGCTGTGCAAAGGCCCGGGGGCAGGGGATACAGCTGTGCAAAGGCCCCGGGGCAGGGGATACAGCTGTGCAAAGGCCCCGGGGCAGGGGATACAGCTGTGCAAAGGCCCCAAGGGCGGGGCAGGGTCTAACAATTAG